CCCCTCTGAAGAACAAACCCCCCTGGCTCCCTGATTCGATTCATCCTTTCAAAAAATGTTCACGGTGAATCCTTGGAAGAAAAACAGGTGAAGTCAAATCGTTTCAGCTTCCAAACCTGGAGGGCGAATAGAAACAGAAAACGACTGACATCAAATCCCTGGGGTTTCCAAAAAATAGGCCTAGGCGCCTGAGAGCGCGTGTGAAATTTCAGTGAAAGAAAGGTGTTTAATAAGGCAGGTGCCTGCGGGCGGCTCTGCGGACTTTCCGCTTCAACCGCCGCACCCTCAGGAGTTCGTAGTTGGTGCCATCCACGATCTCCTTCGATGTGAATCAGATCAGGGCGGGTCCAATTTAAGGGGTCCAGAATTATACAGATAGGCATAGCTAGATCGTAGAAACATACACACACATAAATATAAATAAATAAATAAATATATATATATATACTATATATATATATACTATATATATATGTGTGTGTGTTGATATTTACATAAACAGTATATCTAATTACTGTAGGTGCGTAACCTTTTTCTTTTTTTTTCGGATGTTTTCCATTCTATTGCATCCATTGATCTTTCTGAACTAAGCGACGTCTCAATCCTGAGTGGCCGATCGTTATCATGTCTATTTATGAATATTGGATGTTGTTATTTTTAGACCTGATAAATTCTGTTCTCAAGTCGTTGTTCGAGGAAATGTATCGGTTCATCGGTGATCAACCTACCTGCTCAAGCAATCTATGATAGAATCAGGATATATATATATATAGTTGATGGTGCATCATTCGTGCTATTTAAATATTTCTTTCGAGGCAGACAGATTGCTTTTTTTTTGGTCCTCGGCCGTCTGCCGTTGGCGCTGAGCTGCGCTCCGTGGCGGGTTCTGGCTGCACTCACTCAGCAACTGCGAGATTCGCGCAGCGCTGAACCCTTTGTTCCGAAGGCTTTGGCGGACTTCAGCCACCGTACCACAGACCACCTTCAAGCGCAGGCACTCCATCTGGGATGGGCCGGGCATTGTTCAGGCAGAGAGAGAGCGGTTTTGGCGGCTGGTCTTGTCTGCTCGCGGCTGCGGTTCCACATTTGGGAAAATCACATTCAAGCCAGAAATCGAAGATGCCTATGTGAATGTTTTTTTTAACCGTTTGCAGCCAGGAAAATTGATAAGAACAGGTGCGTTCAGAAGCCACAAAGCCAGGAGCTAGTTTCACATATTCTTTCCTGCGATTGAATAACATAGAGCAGAAAACAGTGAAACTAGCCAATTCCCCGGGGAAATGTGCCAAAATCCTGATAGTACTAGCAAAGACACAGAATTTAGCCTGACCCAACGCAAAAACAACCCTGCACATTGCAAAGGCAATTTAGGACACTTGGTAAATTCCAGTGCAAGCAGCAGTTTAAACAACATTCATGGTGTTTCAACCTGCTTCAATCTTGGTTGTTTCCTGGCTCCATGTGCTCGTGTTGTTTGTTGGCAAGATACGAACCAAGCGATGTAACACCTCTCATGTTTCCCAAATTGAGAGGTAGCAAAAACTTCAAAGCAACCAAGCCCCTGTCATCCCCTGTCAACAAGACCCGTCCCCCCTCCTTTAAAGAATACCCCCTACACACAGAAACTTTTACACAGAGAGGCTGTGACAGATCAGCCGCACAACACACCCCCTCCAATTAAGAACACCCCTGCCCAATAAGAACCCCCCCGAATTAACAGCAACCTCCCCGCCCCCCAATTAAGACAACCCCTCCCCCTAGGCCCTGAGTTAACACACCCCCTCCATTAAGAACAAATCCCCACCCAATTATACAACACGCCCAATACACTGCCCCCGCGCCCGCAATTAAGAACGAACCCCCAAATCAACACCAATACACCGCCCCCGCCCCCAATTAACACAACCCTCCCGCCTGGACTAACAACACCCCCCCTCCAATTAACAACAACCCCCCCCCCATCCCTCTAACGACCGGGTCTGGCACCAAGCAAAAACGGACAGAAAATCATAACGCAACTCGAGCGCAATTTTGCACAACTCGAGCGCAATTTGAAAGTAGTTAGTACACTTTGCAAAAATCCACTAGCAAAATCGTATACTTTTTGGACGGCGGCTACTTTTTGGTGAAACATCATGAAACATCATCAAAATTGTTGAAACGACTACTTTTCAATTCGTGTTAATATATGGTTGACACTGAAAATGACTTATGTTTTTGCATTGCAAAGCCGCTGCGGATTTCATCATTAGGATCTTTGAAGACCAGTCTGTAATCCCATCCTCCTGTATTTTTTCGTTACACCTCCCCAATTGTGTAATCTCAAACTATCTCACATATAAGTTCCAATCCCCTACAAAAAACCACGGTTTCTGTTGGGTTTTTAATATGGGGGATGGGATGATGATAGCAAAACCATATCACAACAAAGCCCAATGACTCAGTTTATACCTAGGTTCATGGTACAGGCCGAATTAGCTGAAGGACATACTTAGTGTGTTGGAGCCGTGAAAAGTAATACGTATCGCATCCCATGATACTGGTTGGTAAATAAGAACTCCGGCCATGGATTCTCAAGATATATCCGATATAACCAATGAAACCCAGTTAGTATAACCCCCAACAAATTCATCCATGAACATGCATATGTTTCATGGCTCTGCAGCTGAAATTAGGGTCAAACAAACAAGGTTTTTTCCCTTTTTGAGACACCCAAACATGATATTGTGAATTGTGACTTAAAAAAGGGATCCCATGATCATGTGCTAGTTTACCCATGTAAACCATCCCATGAAAACCCACTGGGAGTCGGAAAAAACATCATCCCATCTCTAGAGGATATACCGTATACCCGATTTCATCAAGCTCGAACTTGGGGATGGATCTGATTGGGTTTACCAGATTCATGGGCCAATTTGATGGGGATTTTTTTAACGGGATAGTCCCATATCGTCCCATAGTTTACTATAGTTCTTCCATAATTATCCATCATTTTTCCCACTATGTATTATCCTATATGGAGGTTTCCTAAAATAGGGGTACCCCAAAATCATCCACTTTAATAAAATTGTCCATTATAAACCATCTATTTTGGGGTACCCTCATTTATGGAAACCCCATATCAAACCATTATGAATCCATTTGCAATTATTTACTATAATATATAATTATATATAATTACTTTACTTCGTGTGATCCCCACCATGACATTTATACATTTTGTTACTGGCAAATCTTCTGGCATTCTATCTGACATTTTATCTGGCATTCTATCTGGCATACCTTCTGGCATTCTATCTGGCATACCTTCTGGCATTCTACCTGGCATATCTTCTGGCATATCTTCTGGCATTCTATCTGGCATATCTTCTGGCATATTATTTGGCAAATCTCTGGCATTCTATCTGGCAAACATTCTGGCACTTTATCTGGCATACTTTCTGGCATTCTATCTGGCATTCTATCTGGCATATCTTCTGGCATTCTACCTGGCAAATCTTCTGGCATATGTTCTGGAATATCTTCCGGCATTCTATCTGGCATATTATCTGGCAAATCTTCTGGCATTCTATCTGGCAAACATTCTGGCACTTTATCTGGCATATCTTCTGGCATTCTATCTGACATTTTATCTGGCATACCTTCTGGCATTCTACATGGAATTCTACCTGGCATATCTTCTGGCATTCTATCTGGCATATCTTCTGGCATTCTATCTGACATTCCATCTGGCATATCTTCTGGCATTCTATCTGGCCGTTGAGGTCCAGCGTGCACACTGAGCTGGGCAGGTCCCAGGTTGAGGTCCAGCGGTGCACACTGAGCTGGGCAGGTCCCCGGTTGAGGTCCACCGGTTGAGGTCCAGCGGTGCACACTGAGCTGGGCAGGTCCCCGGTTGAGGTCGAGCGGTGCACACTGAGCTGGGCACCTCCCAGGTTGAGGTCCAGCGGTGCACAGTGAGCTGGGCAGCTCCCAGGTTGAGGTCCAACAGTGCACACTGAGCTGGGCAGCTCGCAGGTTGAGGTCCAGCGGTGCACACTGAGCTGGGAAGTTGGCAAAGAGCTTGGCGAAGAGTTGGCAAGGCGGAAGTGGACATGGAAGTGGAGGCAGAGGTGGTGGAGGAGAAACTGGAGGAGGAGGCGGAGGAGGAGGAGAAGGAGGAGGAGGACGAGGAGAAGGCGGAGGAGGAGGAGGCAGTGGAGGACAGCTAGCGAGGAGGAGAAGAACAGCTCTGATAAAATCTAACAAGCCTCACCTGGCAGGTGGGGAATAATCCATTTACTATCATTTACTATAGTTATCCATTATCAATCCCAATAACTATCCCATTTACTATAATAACATTTACTATCATTTACTGTCATTTACTATCATTTACTATCATTTACTATCATTTACTGTCATTTACTATCATTTACTATCATTTACTATCATTTACTATCATTTACTATCATTTAGTATCATTTACTGTCATTTACTATCATTTACTATCATTTACTATCATTTACTATCATTTACTATCATTTACTATCATTTACTATCATTTACTATCATTTACTATCATTTACTATCATTTACTGTCATTTACTATCATTTACTATCATTTACTATCATTTACTATCATTTACTATCATTTACTATCATTTACTATCATTTACTGTCATTTACTATCATTTACTATCATTTACTATCATTTACTATCATTTACTCTCATTTACTCTCATTTACTCTCATTTACTATCATTTACTATCATTTACTATCATTTACTATCATTTACTATCATTTACTCTCATTTACTCTCATTTACTATCATTTACTGTCATTTACTATCATTTACTCTCATTTACTATCATTTACAATCATTTACTATCATTTACTATCATTTAGTATCATTTACTGTCATTTACTATCATTTACTATCATTTACTATCATTTACTATCATTTACTATCATTTACTATCATTTACTGTCATTTACTATCATTTACTATCATTTACTATCACTTACTATAATATTCCCATTTTTTCCTATGTTTTTGTCCCCACCTGCTCTGCAGTTCTTCCAGCTTTGTCACTTCAGTTCCCCAGAAGCGGACTGAGGGAACCGTGCGCCTCTGGGCAACGTCGGCCTGAATCATCCCTGGGATGTTGGGATATGATAATAATGATTATGATCCAACAATAATGATCCAACAATAATGATAATAATGATTGGGATAATATTGATTCATTTGTGATATATAATATGTATATAATCTACATGATTTAGATTATAATAATGATTATGATTATGATCATAACATATGTTGATTCATTTTTGTGTAATCTATAATTCATGTTCTTGATTTTAATGATTCATACAAATATATCATATCTACTGTACATATACAGTGTATATATATATATACACGTATAAACACCCTCTGGCAAACTAACATAACTATTGGAAATGGCCATAGAAATAGCTTTACCCATTAATAGCATGGTGATTTTCAATAGCTATCTTAAATTTCCAGAGGGTAACCATCAACGTCGGCCTCCTGAAATCTCCATTGAACATGCTCGGTGACAAGGGGGTAGCGCCTGCAGCAAACTGGCTAGGCTATGACTGCACAGCACCAAAAAGTATCAATACCCTCTAACAGTTTGTCATCAAAATTCATAGAAATAATCGGTAAATCATCTACAAATTAGCAACTTTCCGCTACGTTTCATTACCAAAGGGTAACACACGAGAGCAAAAGGGTTCTTTCGAATGGCACATCATCCACAGTTGTGAATTAAAACCACCATGGTCATGGTCAACAGCGGCGTTCTCAAAAAACATGCCTCACATCATTTTGCTCGCCTCTACTCTGCACCATGTTGTGAAGATTGAAATCTGTACCCGGCAAAATCGCTTGGTTTCGTGTTTGATGGTTTCAACCTAGGACCTATCCCCAAAATATTCGCCAGCTGGGTTTGCCATCCACGATAGAGTTACACGATCACCATTCTTGTTGATACTGTTGACTGCAATCAATACATACACGGGTTTGTCTGAAAATATGTTACCAAAAAAACATCACCATCATTTTCCTAAGTACTTAAATTGCCATTTGGGGGTACAGGAGAAAACACCAGACCATATATCACATATCACCAACATTTCAGACACATCCGTGGCTACGAACCAACATCCATCTCCAGATAATGACCAAAAGCGACCCTTAAAACGGTCACCTCGTCCTTCTTCACATGCAGAGAAGAGGGCGGCCAAGCCCACTGCATCGAGTGGGTCATCCCAAGCGCCACTCAGCAGCAGGGAGAGCTTCCACTTTAAGGTTTTGGAGAAGGTGCTGAGAAGGCTGTTGACCATCATCCCATTCAATCCTTGGAACCCAAAACGAACATGGCGAAAATCTGCTCAAAATCGGCCTGAAACATGTACCAGTTACATCCAGTTACCACATATTGCTACTCCAATTCTGAATCATACTGTCATACTGAGTCATACTCCCTATGCCAGCGT